TCAAAATGGATGAATTATTATTTTCTTTAACCATCAAGAACATTGAGCACTATCGCGGAATTATCTGGGTGAATTACATGGCAGGGAATTATTTTGAAATTATTTAGATTATCTATGTGATATATCAAATATCATCATAATGTTTTCATAGAAAGATGTAAACATATTCGTGTCGCCTATTACCTATGAACTTCCTCCAGGCAAATAATCATTTCGTATTTTCACTAACTATCACTAAAATGTTTTGAAATTAATCGACTGCATAGGATGGCTGCAAGCTGATCGTTTGCGTTGTGGAGCAATCCCAGATGACAGTGGAGGATGATGCAGAAAAGTGTTATCAGTACTGGCCAACGAAACCGGATGCAAAAATGGAGATTGGTGTAGGTCGATGATATGACGTTTATTTACAGCTCATTCATCAAATTTAAAATACAGCCAAACGTTTTTTTTTTTGACAATAATGCTGGAAAACAGAACTATAAAATCCTTAGTGGTAGAAAAAGAAATAAGGAAATAGAAACAAGAGTTAAACTGAGAAAATTCAAATAAAAAATTTCAAGGTAAAGCTGTATTAGCCATCTTAATTTCAGTTCCAATTAAATCTTCCATTTCAAAGCCTTGCATATCTCACTAATGCGACATTTGCTCTCATTTATGAATCACTCATTTGCAGCAAAAGCGCTTTACAGTAAAGTTAGTTAAAAAGAAAGAAGAAAAAGGCTTCATAATCTATGATGTTGCACTCTCAGCGCATTTGGATGCTGATGTTACCTGTGGAAAAGTAGCTCCAAAAGAGGATGGCTCTGTGGACACCGGTGCCGGTGACGACGACAGCAAACCAAAACATGCCAGTCTTTTTCAATTAATTTTTTCAAAGTTCATTGGACTCAAATTCTAGTACTGATTCTCAGCTTTGCAACACTGATCTATGATTTGTAGGCTTCAAACAAGACTGATACATTTAAAAACTAGTAACGATTGATGCAAGCTTTCGGTTTAATTCATGCGTAGGAATAGATGAGAATCCTACAGTTGAGTAAGAGTCGAAATGAATTTGATAAAATAATATATTAAAGAGATTTCTCAACAAATATAATTCTAGAATTGTTAAACACAATAACAAACGAATGGATATCCATGGTGCTTTTTCTAATTTAGATAGTAATATTTCATATAACTAACTGGTCAAATGATATATGGCCAGATCTGGACCAATTGGGATCATTTATTAAAATTCTTGCAAGTAAAGAGATACAAATCATTAAACGAGCAGCCGATGATTACATTCCACCAGTTGTGCTTCAAGGTTTTGCTGGTTTAAACAGGTATTACTGCTATTTATTTCTGTTGTGTCTTTAGAAAAGCGAAAAGAAAGGTAAAGGGTTAAAATATATTTGTAAATGCAAATCAAATTTCATCACATAAAAACCAAATTTCCCTTCCTTCCTGGTCTTTATTACATGCGCTTTTATCACCATAAAAAGATATTGCTTAGGACATGTGTCGTATGGGTAGCAACTATTCTTATGAAGCAGATTGAACGCCGAGAATGTTTTGACGTGGAATATTTGGCGAGACATTTAGTACGTATACGTCCCGGCGCATTTTCTAACCCGATGTCATTTTTTGTCCTTTTTGGACTCGCTTTTCGTATTGCTTCATTGGGTGGTTGGAGTGCTTATGAGGTTTGCTTTTTGCAGAAAGCAAAACGTTTTACCTACTAAATTAATATATTAATGTTATTAGCGATGTCTCTTTGGAGAGGTCAGAATTGAAAATCGTTTTGCATTTAGGATGCAAAGGATCGCATCAAAGAAATAAAGGCAAGCGCATTAGCCACAATGAAAGCAAGAGAAAAACAATAAGCGTTGTGCACACTTTCATTATTCCCAGCATAAATAGATTTCTACTAGTTCTCTTGACACACTTGTAGCAGGTGTTAGTGACCTTAAGTATTTCAAGAAGTTTTGCTTGGGAAATCATGCGAGTGAGGTCAGATTTGAAAATCATTATTTCATTAAAAGTTATATCTCAAGATTGCGTTCATTTCACTTTTCATCTTTGGTTTTTCCCTTAATTTTCAAGTTACCAGTGGAATTCTTACCTTAATTTCTTCCTGAAATAATTGACATCTTGATTCGAACTTTTTCCCGATTAATTTTCAATTTTGAAATACATGAAAATGTAATTGGTTTGTTAACTCGAGTATGATTAATAGTCACATTTATTTTCACATTATTAACTTCAAAAGAGAAGGAATAGTCACAAAAGATTGGCTATCTTAAAAAAAGCATCATGAAAATTTCATGTTTCATGATGTTTCGGCTGAATATTAAGGTCAAAAGTATTCTTAATCAATAACCTTTCCAAAGACGCTGTAGGCATATTTCTACAGAAACAAAGTTCAATTTCTGTGGAACAATGTACCACATAGGCTCAACATGTTAATTCATATCCTCGCATTATATTAAATATAATTTTGTGAAAAATGAAATGCATAACTGCAACAGATTAGAATATCCTGAAATTTATAGTTATTCGACAAATAGGTTGAATTAGCTTTAACATTCACAATACACTCATGGCACTTTGTCGTAATCTGGCCTGGACTAGATTACGACAAAGTGCTTAATTAACTACAGTTTATGAGTTTGAGTAATTTTTCGGAAGCATTTTTATCGTATTCATTATGACCTGACAAATGTGAACTAGTGATATACGCATCTGGCAAAACTGATTTGTGCATTTTAAAACTATTCAAGGAAGACTAAGTTAAAGTAAATTTTTTTCTCTAAAAAAGCATAGAATATGTATGCAGACTTTTTATTCAACTTTAACTGATGAATGAATAAAAAGTCATTTTTCCAACTTTGATTACTGTTCTACATCCCACTGACATCCGTTCCTTATCATCTAGTTTTAGAAAACTTTGAAAACCTTCATATCATTGACGAACATATAGCCATACTTCTTCCAATCACCACTTTCTTGGAGCCAATATCGAGCACCTTTACCTTGCTGTTTTCAACCGTTTTCGAGAGTGTCAAGATTGTCGCCACCTCTTCCTCATGTATTGTACATTGAAAGTGGACCCTATAAATAGGATTACCAGTGTAATTTCCATCAAATTCAATTTAGAGGTTAAACATGATTTACTTCATGAATGAACACAAAATCAGAGTGAAAAGAAATGAGCAACTGGAAAATGAGCTGAGTAGCCATGAAAATGCGATCAATACCTCATAAGTTAATCCAGTTTCCATAAATGTAATCAGATTCTGATAGCACATTCAAGGTTAGTATTGTCCTGTCCAGTCAAATAAAAACATATTAATCTATTTTTGCTCATATTAGCCACACAAGACTGTGCTGAAAACAGGATGGTACATAGTTTTCTACACTTGTAATCTTCAAAACGATAATTCATAAAATAGAATGAAACGATTATTGCGATAAAAAAAGTGATATTAAAATGTGAAAATTCATCAATTTATTCAAAAAATAAGAAATAAATATACCAAGTATACACGATCTTCTCACGAATTTATCAATAGCCATCGCTTTTGATAGTTCTTCCAAGCACTATGATTATATTCACTTTGTTGAATGGCTGCTTTCTTGTGCTTATATTTTCTCACTTTGCAAAAATATCTGATTCTTATTAAATCTCCACAGAACCTAAGCTAGATATATCTAATTATACAAATTAGAGGGTTTAAAAAAATGCTTTACTTAATAATCGAACACAATAGTTAAAACATTAAGTAAGTAAATTTACAGACAAATTAGGAGCAGGAATGAATATTTTATTTCAATTAATGTGTTAAATTTATTAAAATAATAGGCAACATTACAGATGGAATTTCGATCATCAAATGCATCCATATACATTTTAATTTCATCAAGTATTATTACTAAAAGTCCTGAGAGATATGTTCGAAGCTCTAACAAGCTAAAGAAATATTCTAGTAAGCTGAGAAAGAAATTTGCTTTTGATCGGAAGTGATCATTGGGATAATGAGACCAGTTGATTTGATAACTGACTCATGAACTTGTGTGTTGAACATTATTAGTAAAATAATTGAAGTGCTGTGTAGAGTGGTAGATCATTGCAAATTTATTGTAAATTTCATATTAAAGTTAAAAGATTTAAACTTTCTCACATCTATCAAAATGTTTTGAAATGCATTTGGTACACCTAAATAGAACCATTTGCCTTTTATCATTAGTGTTTCCATCGCTTTTGATTCTTGATTTACTGCTTGTTTACATTTATCAACATCTATTTATTTATTCGATCATTTCACTTTGTTATACATAACGATTTCAATTTCCACTGTAGTAAAATATCAAATTAATATTGATTTGATCGCATTATTTTCGTGAAATTTCAAAGGTATTACAGAGGTTTTTGGAAATCTGAATATAAATAAATTTTGTTGAAGTTTCAAAAAGAAAATTATCTAAACAATGTTTACCTTGACAACTTCTCCCAAATCTACATCCGTTTTATTAGATCTTCATCTTAAGAGTCAAAAAAATTTGCATGAATATGATTCAAAAAATTTAATAGTTTTATTATCAGTTCATAGAAGACGTTGCTTAACAATATTAAATATAAATTAAATTTTTTGATTTTTCTTTTATAAATAAATCTTAAAAGATTAAACTCACATTGTTGGTCATACTAAACTTACAGTGAAGCTATACAAGTAGCAGAGCTGGCTAACTCAACTGAATCTCCCATTGATAAATTATGTGGTCCTTCGGAAGTGGCAGCTAGGGTAGAGCGGTTGCTTTTCGATGTTATCAATAAAGCTGAAACGGTAACTGCAATGTAATTTAACAAAGGAGCAATTTATGAATGATAAAAAAAGATAACAAAGAAAAGTAGTAGAAAATATCTTCCATTTTACACTCTGAAATAGTAGATAGAACTTTGCAGAAAGCTTTGTTCTTCATAGGCATTGAAAGAACTGTCTGAACACGGAACCGAAATGATGGTGTCAGAGTCGGATGGAATGAATCAAATGAATAATTCTGGACGACAACCTGCTTCAAGTGTTGCTGCTCCAGGAAAGCTGAAAGGCAGTGAATTCTTTGCTATAACGCCCATCCTTGCAGATTCATCTCTTAGCACAACATTTCCCAGTATTTTCAGGACAACAACGCTCTGTAATAGGAAATTCTGAAATTTCACCGTCATTAGTGTTAAACGAAAGACCAGGTGTTCGATATTTGTGCTGTGACCGATTCTTCAAATGTGATGGACGTAATTTGGTGATGAAATTATCAAAACGTTCTGAAAATTTTATGTTCAAATTAACTCATTGAGTTTTCAGTGTGTAAATACGAAATTCTTTCTAGATTGCACGGGAAATTTGGCCCTCAGATGGTGGCTGTATTGAGTTAAACAGAAAAGAATTGAAGCGTTTCATTATAAATAATGAAGCCAAAAGGTAACTATAGTTACATTAATTCATTGTCTCTTGGTGAGATTTAAATTTAAATTTTGAAACTAAACCTTCTAAGCGTAGGCTAAATGGATCAAAGATGAGTAGACATATTGCTGGCGGAAGTTTACCGAGATGTGCAAGTGACATTTCAAGGAATGACAATACGCTGACCACTGGAAGAAGTATCCAATCTTTCACTTCAATGTACAGGTAGAACGGAATTGAATTACTTAGCTGAATGAAAATCTTAAATACTGAATGGAAATCCTTTAAAGTTTATAAAAAAGCCAAAATTAATTCCTATTTCTATGGTCTAAAATGATCAAATTTTACTCAAACGGAATTCAAATTAGAGCTGCGAGGATGAAAAGCAAAGAAGTGAGGAATAAATCGCTTCGCTGAAGGCTGTTAAAATTAGCATATTTGATCTTTAATATATTTATCACTTCAGTTCTTATAGGAACATCTAGTCATCAGTTATAGAAGAAATTGAGTATTTAGGAATATAATTGAAAATACTGAAATTAAAATACATTGTTTCAAGCTTAGCATAATAACAACTAAAACTTTGGTCTTTAGAAGTAGGTTTAAATAATTTAAGACAAGATCATAATGAAATATGTCAGCAGAAAAGAGAAAGAAGTTTCACTGAGCTTAATTCCACATCATCTGCAATCCACAGTAATGAAGATTTGAAAACGCGACGACAACTTTGTGTTCAAGGAAATTTTGCACAAGTTATCAAGTAGCTTATTTAAATATGTGTTTGGTTTCATTTTCTTCATGAAATCTTTTTGTTTTTGTTTTGTTTTTTTTTTTCAAATTGATTATTAAATTGATTATTATGCATACAAGGAAACGTTTATTAGTCATAATTAATTTTTTCTGATATACAATGCAGTTAACTTAATATAGTACTAGAGATAAAATCTCAATACTTATTTCTTAAGTTAACAACTGCTTATACGAACAAGCAGCGGAACAAACATAGGGAGCTTGTTCATTTATTTCATATGTTTATTTCTTTCTTATTTACTCCTCGTCAATCTATTCATCTGATAAACATTCCAGAGACACATCATCAGAAATAAGTATAACATCGATCACTGAATCACCTGAAACTTTGATCAGTAGTGAAATAACAGGTCTCACGATCCCAAATGTTGATGAATTGTCTTCAGACGAAACCGAACCACCAACTGATGCTCATAACTTCGTACAAAATAAAGGAGATCAATTGATACCAGCGATGAAACCCGATGGTACCATTGTTATACCTGGAGTTGTAAGTTTATCAGTGATTACCATACTAAAATAGGCCGAAATTTCATAATGAGTCTTGAATCTCTTAAAGAATAAGTTTTAGCACCGACAGGTATGGTAATAATAGTAAAAGTACAATCGCTTCCGCAAGATTCGGGAAAGTTATGACGAAAAACTGGATCTTCTCATCCGGATTTAATAATTTAAATCACAGTAAAACCAATACGGAGCTCAATGGATTAGTCATAAAAAAAATCTCATCTCCACTACCAATTGTTCGTGACGAGGAAATGAGTAAACAACGTTACGTAGCTTGAATATTTCATGCGTCAACCGGACATTCAAATCGCTTCAGGTACATGTGGAGAATTTTGAAGGTTTGAATGGCGTTGTGCTCGAACTGAAAGTGCTTATCAAGAGTCCGAAGGAATCCAGACGATTCACTCTCAAAATCGACTGCCCCCACTTCAAACCAAAAACGGTCAAAGTAAATGGAATCAAAACTCAAATCTTTTAGAAGACCGTGAAATGTTACAAAAGACCCGAGTCTCCTAAATGTATTCCAAGAAATATTTCATTAAAAAGCTTCACGAATCCCTTAAAAATTAGATATGTTCCGACAAAAGACATAAATTTCCTATCACTCATCTGCAGTTATTTTTAATTTATCCACCAACAGAGTTTTAAAAGTTTCTGCCCCACGTTATCTTCCTCCAGCAAATTTCCTCCATAAGCAAAAAAAAGAAAAAAAAATTCAGAACGAACACATTTATCGAGAAGCAAGAATTGATGTCCAAATACATAAAGAAAACACGAAAAATGAGAATAAATAAAAAGTATTCTTGAAAACGATAGAAAATATTCATTCGTGCACTACTGGGAATGCATGAGCTTTCCAAAATATAAAAGTTATGCCAGTCTTCATATGAATATTTGCGACAAATCGAACAATCAAATCAGAAAAATCCGGAAATCCCACCCATAAAACTCAATATTTACTAGAAGTCATCTACAGAACAATTTTAGACAGTCGTGAAATTCAGAATTGGAGGGCTAATTTTGCAAATTTCGAACTCAATCCTTCAAGTTGTACCTTGAAGAAATAACGAACTTGTGTGTAGACAAAAAAAAGCAAGATGACGAAATTTCATGCCCTCATAGACAGACAGATAAAAAAAAACGCAAAACACAATTCTGCATAATAATATTGATAATAATAAAATAATTTCACAGTATGTAGGCTTTCATGAATCTTTTTGAAACATAAATATACGCGAACGATTTTCTATGACAGCAAATAAAAAACTTGTGCTCTCTATTTTGCTGATGAATGAATGGGTACGATATTGGTCGATCTCACAATTCTGCCTGTCGTTGCTCATACAAACTCATTTTGTTGTCATCATAGTCACAAACTCTGCAAAAATGTAATGCTTCAGGTAGAAGTGGCAAATTATGTGAAATTCATTCGAGAGACCGAAATGTAAAGCAGAACAGAAAGCAAAAAAAAGTATGATGCTCAATTCCTTACACACTTCCGTCATTTAAAATCCTTTCTCTAGCATGATCAACAGCTCTTAATTTTTGATTGCAATAGATGCCCAATTATGGATAAATAAAAACACGCAAATAAGTAAATGCTTTTCAATAAGAAGAAATTTCAATAACGAAACATTTTAATTACTTTTATAAACAAAAAATGAAAGAAATACCACTGTCAATATTTTAAAACATTTATTTTATATTCTATCATCTCTGGCTATCTTCATGTCTTATTTCTGCACTGTCATCATCCTACTGATATTATGAAGTATTTCGATATTTAATAAAATCTAGCCAAAATATATCGCAGTATTTGAACACGGATTTCCCCGCCCATATCTATATCTACACAGAACTTGCTGTCAATGTCTACAAAGTAAACATATATGAAAATATAAACATATAATCAGAAATATCATCGATAATAGCACTCACCTTCGTAATTGACCTGACCATCACCATCAATATCAGCTTCCCTAATCATTTCATCCACTTCCTCATCGGTCAGTTTTTCACCAAGATTAGTCATAACATGACGTAATTCGGCTGCAGATATGAAACCATTACCATCCTTGTCGAATACCTACAAAGAAATAACAATCTTGCATCGTACTGCTCAGCGCACTGTAATGGTTATGCAGAAAAAAAAAAAAAAAAACTGCACTGTAATGACTATGCAAGGACATTTCGAGCACGTGGTTATGGCCCTCACGAACGATTTATCTGAATTTGTAATGCCTTAATTAGGATCATTCGCTAAATCAGTAAGGGAAATTGGGCACATACTCGAAAGGCTTCACGGATCTCTTCTTCGCTATCTGTATCCTTCATTTTCCGTGCCATCATGGTGAGGAATTCCGGGAAATCAATCGTTCCGTTACCTGTAAATTAAGCCGAAAAAAAAAAAATCTTCAGAATTAAGACAGAGAAAACGAAACGATTTTAGGCCAAGTGCTGAGAATTTAATCTGAAGACCCAAACAAAAATTTAAAGAAACTTAAAGTTTGCGTCAACCTAACTAACCATCAGCATCAACTTCGTTGATCATATCCTGTAATTCTGCTTCAGTCGGATTCTGGCCTAGCGATCGCATAACCGTACCCAATTCTTTTGTTGTAATTGTACCATCGCCATCTTTATCGAACAAGGAAAATGCTTCTTTGAATTCTAAAAAAAAAATAATAATAAAAATAATAATACCTTATTTATAGTAGGTTTTTTAACATGTGCTGTCACCGTAGATGAAAAATGGAAAACTTGATGTAAAGTGCCATAAAATAATACAATACAATGTAATAGCAAAGTAATTATATGTCTCAATCTGCAAAGTATAACAGCAAAGTAATTATATGCCTCAAGCATTCTAATCTAGAAACTTCGTATATATACATTTAAAACAAAAGAGTTAGCAGGAATCATGAGATAATCCTAATGAAGAATTAGAACCAAAACGAATTCGGATAAGGAACAAGAATCTTCGAGCAGTTCTAAAGAAAGCTTATGATCGGCGAAGAAACATGAATACTGAAGAAAACATAAACTGAAAATAAAATTTCAGGAATAATAACTTTCAAAAGTACAACTTTCTTTGCATTTTCCTCCTTGTACTATTACTTTTGTAAATGCTATGAGTCTAGAATTAAAAAGATGAAATTCATCTGTAAAGATGCCAAAGGAGCATTTCTTCGCATCCAATCAAGCACGTAAATCTCCTTCCTCAGAAAATTCTGGTTGTTTCAACCGACTTGCTGCTTATGTACCAGACTATTTTAGAGATACAAAAGGCAAAAGTTAGTTATTATTATCATCTTATTCTAATCTTTGTCTATCTCTAATGTTTTAGTCATCTAATGTTTTTTATTCTTCTTGTGAGCTGCTGTTTTATCTGATAAAAAATTCATTTGGATCTCCTAATGAAATCGTTTAGAGTTATCAATAGTCCTAAGCAACAAAGTATCACGCGATATTCTATACAATTTATATTAAGATCTAGCTGAGCTCATTTTACCAGACTCTTTCACTTTTCTCCATTTCACTTCAACACTCAACTTTTTACTCTGCCATACATAAAATTCCATTGTAATCTTGCATAACTAACATAAAGGGAACCAAAATTCTAAATACATCATTTTTGTCAGACACAACAATAATATATGAAACCTTAAAATTTTTTCCCATTTGTAAAATTCAAACACAAGTGCTATTACTTGCTGCTTTTGGTAGAATAGATAGATGTCTTAATGGGCATGAGATGTTACAGTTACAACTCTATCTCAATTTTGTAGCACAATGCAATGGATTGCAAATAATTTCTTTCCCTTCAAATTGTTTGTAACAATTCGAATAAATTTAATGTTAGCTTGCAAGCGGAGTTCAGTAGATCAGTAAGTTTTAAAAAAATCTTCAGTACCTTCGAAAAAAAAAACACTGAAATTCAAATTAAATTAATTAGAAGCTTGCCTGCAATTTGCTCCTCGGTGAGCTGATCGGCCATTAGTTCGTGAAAATAATCGAAGAATCAAGAGAAAAGGACGAGAAGGCGTGGAATGCACCAAAAAGATGCAGACGAGATCAAGTCCGTGGAAGGAAGCAACTAAATTAAATGATGGAGAAACCACGTAAAATCACCACCGCTAACAGCAGTCTTGCTTAACAAGCGTAAACGCCCTTGTTTTAGTAAAAAGTACACCACAGCAGCTTTCTCGATGTTGTTCGTAAACACTCGGTCCGACAACGATATTTTCTACCCTGCAACTGAAATGTCTCATATAGTGTATCATTAATAATTAATATGCAAATAACGCGGTAAAGCCTAAACAGTAAAAGCAGTAAGTAATAGCCACTGAAGTAGATGAACGACTGAATCACTATTTAACGTAGATCATATACCGTAAGTAATGGAAATTAAACAATAAGATATCAAAGATTCAAACACAAGCCTCATGTAATTCGCATGATACATTAGTTTAGTTTTTAACTGCTGATATTTCAAGCAACATAAAAAGTTTAATCAGATAACTAACTCAATATGATTCAAATTTAAGCGTTTGATTGGAGAAAAAAAAGATATCGAAAACTTATCTTCCTCCTATATAAAGAACTGTATTAACCGCGAAAAGAAGGAAGGTTACACGAGTTAGTTCATAGGTTTTCACATCGGACAGAAAATAAAAATATTGCAAAATTAAAAAAAAATTGATTCATAATCACTGGTGACATTGCACTGAGCAACCAATTTCAGTTGTTTATATTGCAACAAAGAATATGAACAATATTCATGACTCATTACATGTCAAAGAAATGATTCTGTTGTTCCTGTTGCACTACATCAAAAAGTCTCGGGATTATGTGTTATATACGTTTAAGCATGCAAAACTTTAGTATAATAATTGTTTAGCAAAAAATAGTGCACTTCTTCGTTTGTCGCATCATATAGCAAACATAGAAGCCAAAATGTATGGCTCACCACTAATTAGCATAAATGACGCATATAAGGATGCGAATGAGAAGTCATGGAACACTATTTCTCATTACACAAAAACATCTAACCTACTGGACTTTCTCTATCACCACTGGCATTAGAAAATCTAAAATGTTTAGAAAGATAAGTCCCCAATCTTCCAACTTCTCCAATTTTTGTATCTAAACTTTTATTCGCTTTCTAGCACTCACATTTACCTCTGTATCTGAGCAGCCATTACTTTTGAAATATACGATTTTCCGACACTATCTTTTAAATTTGTTGAAAGTCAAGCAATGAGAAACAAGCTTTTTTGCACTCTGCAAATTACTTTGCTTTCATAACTTTACCAGTTACATTCACAACAGTCATTTTAAAAGGATCTTCGAAGAAATTTCATGAAGCTTGAGCTGGAAAACACAAAGATCAATTTATTATGATTCCTTCTGCTGGAAAAAGAAAACTCTGGACACAAACTAAGTTGTAAAAATTTTAAGCAGAATTTATTTACCTCTCAAAAAGAAGAAAAAGACACATAGAAATGATATGTTGGAGTTGTGTAATGAGGGTATGTAGTATAAGTACTGGCTAAGCGTAGAATGAAAGGTTTTATCATCAGGTGACCGAGCGTTATGTCAACAAGCGCTGAACGCATGGGTGTCTCAGCCACACTAAACATAGACACAATGTTCTATAGTGGTGACAAGACATGGCACAAGAATAGAGTGGTGGGACAATAAATACATACTCACTGCATGCTCGAACATATCGATGTTTGTCTTGTGGAATATTACGTTTCATGTAAAAGCAATATGTCACCAAAAAAATCTGAAGCTCATTTTAATTTTGAAATTCAAACAACTTTGAACTGTAAGAAGACTAATCATGAATTACGTGCTCCCATAGCCACTCTCATCGCTAATTTATTATATAGAGTATATAAATGTCTTCATCATGAATATGAATTACATTGTAAAGACCAAATAATTTTAATGTTAATAACAAAACAAACGAAGAAAATAATCAGACACCAAGGAGTAGTTCCACTTTTTTCATCTAGCAGTGTTCGTAAAATCTATTTAAAAAACGCTCTTTATTTTTAAATATAGACTTCCTTAAGTCTGGTAAAGTCAATCAATGAAACTCTATTATCTTATCAGAGAGTATTGCCAACCATCAAAAAGGACTATTTGTACTTCCAATCTATCGCTAATGCAATTTGATATCCAGCCAAATGTTTCAGATTCTCAGTGAACCGAACTGAACAAGAAAATGATTTTAAAACTCATCATGATAAAGCAATTCTTACTAATCACTGAAAAACCCTTGCACTGAACAATTCAAACTTTGCATTGTTCAGTGCGATGTTACAGTATGTTAAATAAGTTCGAATTTTCCTCCAAAGCAAACAAAGAATACATATCTTGCCATACGAAGACAACAATAGCTAATCTCTCAATGTGCACACTATCATGAGATGCTGAAATAGTTTTGTCACCCGGTAAAACTAGAAACACTTTTGCAAATAAGCCTTCAAAATAAAACTTATTGACCCAATGCATACCAAACAGATAAAAACAGACGTAATGATAGCGAAAATAGCTAAAATGCAACAAGATGATGTAAATATGAAGCAGAAGGAATTAATAAAAAAGCAGGTGTTTTTTCGCACTAGAATGTTCTAAACCAATCCATCTATCGCTTCCTTCAGATCTTTTCTGCAAGACAACTAAATGAAAACAAATAATGTTATTAGGAATAAATGACACTGCAGGTAATTCATAAAACGCATCAAATCGTAATTTGATAACGACTAACTTATGAGCTTTTCTTCGCGCTATTATAAAACAAAGAACATCAGCGATAAAATTATTAATGAAAGTCATCAATGATTAGAACTTGGAAATGAAAATACTGAAGTACAACAATTACTGCCAATCATTAGGTGTTCTAGGAAGATTTTCAGACATACTTCCCAATCTCTAAACAAGGAAAAAATTATTTGAAAAATAATAATTGAAAATAAAACTGCAGATAATCACTCTTCCACTGGAGAATGAAATCTCGAATTTTTCATTACTAAAAAGAATCCAAATATTTTCAACTGAAAATACAGAAAAAATTATAGCTAAACTGATGTAAAAAAAAATGACATAGTTTACGTACTAGGCTTCATTTTCGAAATATTGTTGTTATATTTCTGCTTCGAAATATTCTTGTTATATTGAGGAAAAAATTTTTTATTTTCGTGGGATCTGAAAGTTCGATGACGGTTCATTGGATTTTACGAATAGTTATACAGTGTAGTATTCCGAGGCTTTTCACAGTTCACATGCATATCATTAATCTCAATAAATATCCTTGTCATACTTGAATCAGAATTTTTTGAATTCGTTTTTAGAATATAAATTTGGCAGAACCTTCAGCGAACCTTCAGTTCACCACATACCACACGTACTGTGAAATCAGAGTCCGCAATTTCCAAAAACTATGTTTAATATGTCAAAAATTCTATCTCCGATATGAAATTACGAACATTCTGTTACGGAAGCGTGCAGTACAAATGTAAAAAAGTGTGAGACAATGTGAAGTGCTACAACACTAATCGCTGCGGAAGAAAACGGCTAAGCTAAACTAGGCCAAGCAATAGTCCTTCCCTCACTACTTCTAGATTATATTGAAAAGTAAGGAAAGACGGAGCTGGGAATTACTCGTAAATGAACAGGCACATATGTGAGACATACGTAGCATACACGTATTATACACGTACATGGCGTGCTAGCGGACGCAATCATTGGGCAATGGGTGGAGTGTAAGAGAGAGATGAAGAAAGGATGAATGCTTGAGAGGGATTGGACAGAGTGAGAGGAAGAGAGAAGGAAGAAGCGGAGATCCATTATGTGATGAGATGATGGCCACACTAGTTTATCCTTCAGATTCTTCCAGATTGATAAGCGATGGGAGAAATAGAAAAGATTGGAAGGAAATATGTGGACGAAGAAGCAGAGAAGAAATATTTCAAAAAGATAGCGCTTCGTGTAGTCCAGTACCACTGCTGTCACATATAATGCAATGTGACAATGAAATAGTAGATAAGAGAGACGTGGCTGATTGGTAGAGAGATAAAGATATTCTGTGATGCACCATGCAGATAGAAGAGATATTGAGAAAAAAATAATTCAAGATGAAGGAATAAGTGATACAAAGAAAATTACTTTCTTAAAAAGACTACAGAAAGTAAAGTTGGAAGATGATGAGAAAGTGAAAGAGAGACATATAGCAGCAAATGAGTGTAGTGAGCAATTGCGCCGCGTAATGTGCTGTTGCTATGGAGACGGTCTTCCTCCTGTTCTTTGGCATGGAGTAGACGAGTAGAGAGTGAATGAACAAAAGCAGAGAAACGAAAATGTCGCAACAAGAATGTATGTATGTCAAGGTGGTGCTCATTTCACGTTAATCAAACGGTATTGATAATTTGAGGATGGCTGAGCTATTAGCGTGACTGCGAGGACATTTGCGCTGCTTTATGAAGGTTCCACTGAGTGATGGTGGAGCGTTTGTATTTCATAGATAACGACGATACCATAGATGACCGATCGACCACCTTTGACATTAACAGATGTAATTAGGCGGATCTTCCTATTGCATTTGGAAAAATTCTTTAAAAAAAGGTTGTGCATACAAAGAGAATTGATTACAGTAAGTACCATCCATACTTCAATTAAAATACAGATGTAGTTCTTTGGATGAGGGAACTTTTTACCCAATGGAAATATACTGCTACGTTCGATCATTTCTATCCATTTGGTAATGTCTTGTAAAATTGAAGTTCAAATAGTAGTAATGAATTATGTAAAATGGTGTGAAGTTGTGAAAATGGAACAGGTTGAACATGGTCATCTTATGAATGAATGACATCCAACGTCGTGGAATTCTTGGTTTCATATGTAGCCCATCATCCTAAAACTTTGTGAAGTACTCTTGCCTATGGGCTTAATGCCTCTTCAGAAGTTATTCAGTCTACAGACAAGAGCACTTCAAGCTACCCTATTTTTATTTCCCCTTCTTCCATGGTTCCCACAAGCTTAGAGGCATCGAAGTGATACATCTTGCATTATGCTGTCACTAAAAAAAGAACACATGCTAAAAGCTGCTCAAAATTTAATTAACAACCAAGTACGAGAAATTACATGCTGCTGTGGTGGTGTTCAGTTTGAGGCTGGATGAGTGAGGATTTTGCGAATAAAACAAAGGAACATCACATTAGTCATCGGATTATAGTGCAAGGAGATAAGATAGAGTTATATTGAATTGAAATGCACCCGAGTGGAAATCAGATCATGTTTTTGGTGAGTGTATTGATTGAGGACAATTGTTCATGGAATTTGCTTGGGGCTCTGCTCGCAAATTTGCAAGATTAAAGTCACAACCGGTAAAACAAAGTTTATAATCGATCGTGAAAAATAATTGTTTTGTATTCAGAGCCCTCATTAAGTATTGCACTTTTTTGCATTAATGGTTATTTTTTGAATATACTCAGTGGAAGATTGAAAGCACTCAAACGGAAGGCTTACATTGGCATATTATTCTTTCTTAACAAACATTTACTTAGTTTGAGCTTTCTCAATTTCCGTCGCCTGGAATGTAGGACGCAATTTTTCCTCAAAAGTTTATGTATTTCGCATTTTCCTTTTCCCAAATTATATAAGGACACCTTTTTTTTAAACCTATAAATAGCGCGTAGTATTTTTCAACCGGCAATTTTTCGTAAACCAATTACGTAAACCAGTTTGAAACCAATTACGCAGCATGACATCTACTTTTTACTGCTGAGAATTTCCGCAACTCTTAAATTTCAAAATTTAACATTTTATGGTAGAATAATGAGGCGGACAAATACTTCAAAGATATCAAGAAAGCAGTAAAGTAAACTATAGATTTTTGACAGTTTAAACATTTTGAAATTATAAACAATTTCTTCCACTGGAACCCATCTACGTGACTGTGTCATTATCAGCCGATACTAGCTAGTTCCAATGAAACTCATATATTTGAAATAACTGTTTGAAAACTGAGTAAGTTATGAAATGGAAAGTGAAATGAGTAATGATACGTTCTAGATTATTCTTTCCCATGCTTATCACTGACCATCGCATTATCATCACTTCGGCAATTGCCTAACTTTCGTGACCATCACTGAAGCATTAGTCTTAGGTAAAGACTAATGAATTCTTAGCCTATTCTCAAACATAGTTAAGCAATATTTAATAGGCACAAATTTCCAAGCTTTTAGGCATCAATACTAGTATGCAATCAACAAATAACAAATATCTGAAGGAACCCCATCTCTCGATTTTAATACGAGGCATTTTGAAATCTGATATATCACATTTCCTCAAACCACACATCCATCCATCCATCTATCTATCCATCCATCCACATCCATCATTCTCTTACACGTCCATGCATTTTTCCTTTTTTTATTTAAAGCAAAATCCATCAAAAAGAGTGCGAAGTGAGGTAGATGTCTTGATGCTGTGGGAATATATCATTTGAAAATTTAACTACTATCAGACATGCTATCATGATACTTTGATACCTCTTTCGTGTATGCCAATTTATTTAGCAAAAAGAATGATTATTTTTGGTATGGGTCTTTAGTTTAACGAAATTATATTAAAACACAATATTTACATCTCTATATCATGGGAATCAGCCATACTAATGGTTAGAAAAATGAATTTTAGAAAGTTTGAAGTGAATAACTGCGATTTTGGACTGTGCTTAACTGTGTGAAAGTTTTTGTAAGAAGGCCGGAAGTTTAGTAAAGAAACTGCTTTCGCTAGTATAACACTTCGTTTATTCATTTTATCTCATGTTTATTCCAAATGTGACGAATTTGACATTTCAGCATTAACATTTTACGGAGAGGTTCCATCTTAAACTTCTGAAAGGATGGAAAAAAGGATAGAGTAGGGCAATTAAGAGGGAATGGAATTTATGTAGAGTGTCTCTAGGATTATAAAAATAGTAAATACTAAATATTGCAACTATGCGTCTACGTCATTCAAAGCAGTTACGTTTCGCTATCGCATTCTTCGCAATTGGTTGGAAAAAGAAATTCCCAACTGGTAAACAACTTAGACTTGACAGAATGTAAAAGCAGAAACAAAAATATATAAATATGATGGCAATGAGAAGCTAAAAAAAGTAAAGGAAAGAAAAAGGAATTTTGCACGGTTTATAAAATTAATCAGTTTGTAGCTATATTGATCGCTACAAGCGGCTTAAAAAAATAAATACATCCATCCTATCAGCAATGCAGTGCATCTGTGAGTATGGAATGGTTGCTAATATTGATATGCATAAGTAGTGGAGCGAAGGAGGAAGGAGAAGAGGAGGCGATAGATGTCATGAAATGAAGCAAAGCAAAACTGAAATTTCGTATGATTTCCTTGCTGCATCAAAGAGTCGAAAAAGAAAAATGCGATGTGAGAGACGAATCATTGAATTCTGAGTGGATTCTGTCTCGAAAACAAAGCATCAATGGACAAAATTGCATTCACTCAGTCACTTTACCAGGAAAATGAATAAATGAAGTTGGCTGCATCGATGTTACATAAAGGGCTGACAATTTCTGAAAAGTCAATATGTAGAGTAGAAGAGAGAGAGAGAGAGAGAGGAGAGAGAATTATGAATAGTTCCGGATGTCTCTATGTGACATTGTGCCCTTGCGAGATTCCGTAAGAAATATTTATACTTTAAACTCTGAATGTCAACTCGTCAACCACACCGATTCTTCTAATAACAGTCCTTGAGATGAACAATAAGGGTGTGTGGGAGAAATGAGATAGAAATCCGAAACTATGGAAGATGATTGGAATGAATCGATTAATTACTGCATGAAATGACTTTGTTACCTAATTATAGAGCGGACTGAAACACAATCTCGAAACAGAAAATGAGGGCTTACAGGGGATTATTCGGCCAGTCGAGAGATCTTGCTGGATACGAACGTATGAGAATGAAAAGTTAGTAGAGGGAAAAGTAAACTGTGTGCTGAGAAACAACGATGAAGTGATATATGCAATTTATCATGATATTTTTATAGTGAATTCAAAGAAGAACGTAAACTGATTACATCTAATATGCAAATAACACGGTTTAAACATAAAAATGCATAAGAACTAATAATAAGAAGGACAAAGAGAGCTCGTTCACGTTTCCATCTCAGTTAATCCCTCAAATGCAACATAACATACCTTTGTTGTTTTCAAACTTTTTAGCCAGAAATCCTAAAAGCCAAGAATGTCAAAATGAATGAAAGCCTAACTAGAGGAGAGTTTTTATTCACTTTTAGGCATTCTAGCTTTTTCCGACAGAATAAATGGAAATTTAAAAGAAATAATTGGGGACATGGTGAGATGGTTTACTTTGGACAAGGAATTAGTATGTCAAGCTCGAAGCGATGTCAGTTCTTATCCCCGCTGTTCCCCGTTTAAAATATCACAAAGTTTAAATGTTTACGAGTTCCAGTATTCCTTACAAAATTCTGCCCGAGTCGCAGTCTTTTTTGAATAGTCGAAAATGGCACGTCCTTCTTTTCGATGAAGATTTTTAAAATTTAATGCAGATAGTTTGGTTGCTGCTAGTAGTCCCGTGGATTTAGAGGTAAACTTTCAGTGTTTGAATCTGATTACTTTTTGAATACTGTAGATGATATCTGTATGGACAACCACCACCAATGTGAGAAGTATTAAGTTTATGCACTGTGTAGATGAAATCTTTTAGATTGATGGGAGTATCTGGAACAACAGCTCAGTCCATGAAATTGGAAATGATTTAGTGAGATTTAGTTAGAAATTTTTCAGTGCAAATTTAGTTAGAAATTTCAGGAATAGAAGGAAAAGCACTACTTGTCAAGGAAAGTTCTCCAGGAATGTCAGCAAGAATTGGATATCAACTGGAAGATATATCGCGATGTTTGTCACTTTGTTTCATGATTGTTTGTCGTATTTCGCAGTATATCAGTCTATTATCGATGAAGTTCTTTTCTTTGTAAGGCAGTTATATTATAATGAACGAACACTATGCCCGTTATTTAATTTTCACAATTTCATGCTTGTATTAGTTTAAATAATTTAGATCTAGATGGTTTACGAGAACAAAGGAAAGCAAGTGAAGATATCATTGGCCATTTGAAAAAAGAACGAGAATTAATCTCATTACAGGTATTTGTTATTTTCATTGCATTTGTTTGGTCAGGAAATCTGAGAATTTTTTTTGTAACAAGTAATTGAAGTAATAAGCAGCGTGCTGAATGTTAGTGGTCATATCTCTGATTGATTGATTTCTGTGTTGTTCAGATTGATGAACTACGTATAAAACTCAATACATTAGATACGAGAATAGGAAAAGAGGAAGAGATTTGTTCACGTTTGGAAAGAACGATAGCGCACGCAAACGAAACATATGAAAAAGTAAGTAAATATAGTAATTCAAATTTAGCATGAAGAATAGGGAAAGATGAATGTATGGATTTGCGTATTTTATACGCATTACTTATAAGTCACAGTCTAACACAATTTCTTTCAATGTCTTGGAAACTTCAAACATTTTGCGTACGGTTTCATTAAGTGGGACCTGTTCATATTAAGGTCGAACATGTTAAGATGAATTAATGCATAATTTGTTGTCATTATTATGCAGTAAGCTTCAATAAGATTAGTGGTGAAATATTTCATTAGTTATTCTTGACGTTTACCTTAATCGCTACATAAAAATATCACTTTCTGGTCAATCCCTGTACACTGATCAGCTTGAAGTAGATCTGGAAAAAAACAAACTAGTTTCATAAAATTTTTTTTTTCAGCTTGTCGAATCCTCTCAAAGTTTAGTGGACTATGTTAAAAAAGAATATGAAGGCGCTCGCAGTTCAGGATCATCACTTACTTGAAATAATTGGCGAATACTAATCTATACTAATCTGATAATAGCATGGTCTGAAAGAGCCGTTTGAAAATTTCAAATATCTGCAAAGCAGTATTTTTTCTAAGTAGTGTTCCTTTTATCACTTCTTATATCGTTTTCTATAATTCATCATACGTGTTATCTTTTAATCATTTATGTATAGGCATCAAAGATGTGACAGTGTTATCGATTGCTTTCTTTTCTGTACCATACAATTCTTATTCTAATGCCTGAAAATTCTGTTTGTTTTTCAATTCAGATGAATCTAGTTTATTCTCCATTTGACTGTATATTATAGAATTTCATTTTTATTTTAGAAGTGCTAATTCAAGTACTAAGATTGATTTTAAACAATTAGTTTTTCGAAGTATTTTTAAGGATATATTGTTTATCAACTGGAAACGTTTAGGATTGATGGTGTTCCTCTCAAAGGTTTTTTAACCAGTTAGAAATCATATTAGCTCACTGTCTCCTTAGTTCATAATTTTTATACAGATGAATTTATTGCTTTATCAGTGCAATTCAGTTCAGTTCAGTTTGTTGCTTTGCATAGTTGCTTTTAGTACTTGATGAATATTTCGCCATCTATATAAATTAGACTTTTCACTGTATAGATTACTTTATTGAAATGAAGTTGGTATTAATATTACAGTTCAGTTCTGATATTACTGAACAAAATAAGCGAATGGTTTATCTACTTGATTGATGATCCGCTTTTACAAACATCAGAACAGTCAATATTGTTGGTTGTTGAACTCTTAATTAAACACTTATAATAGAATAATAGCATGGGAAGAGAATATGAAATTGATTATGCTAAGACATGAAAAAATCATGAATAAAATCATGTGTTTGGTTTCTTGATGATGATTCGTTGATGATTTTTCATGGTTACAAAATTTGACCAGGAACTAGTACACTGAAGGGCAGTTCATACATGGAGAAACGAGTTACAAAATTTCAGGATAATATCTTCGAAGCTCAGATATTAGTTTTATATGGCAATACGCATAATGTTAATGGAAATCATTTGTTCAGTGCATTCTTCTTAGCTGTTTTTTATTAAACGAGAGAATAAATCTCATATACAGTGTTTGCAGTAAAATTTTTCGTACCAGTAATTATGTTAATATCAGTGGGCATACTATGTATAATTGGTGTTGTTGACCCGATGAAATAAGGTTTCACTTTTTCTGGTATTTTACATATACTGTAAATATAATTGAATGATAATGAAGGAAAAATTTTTTGCGCAATTTAAAAATCAGTTTAGGATAGTTGTGGTGTTACATTTCCTGATCAAAAGTCATTTCCAACGTCATGCATTTTTTAGGGTTGTCTGTCCGCTTCTTCTGTTGACATCCTATGTTACAAACGAGAGAGATACTAGATTGAACAGTCATAACTGCTCTGATCATAATCCAAACAAACTTTGGATTTACTAAATGAGGATTTAAAGATTGCATGGTGACTAGATGACTGTGAAGTAACTGGTATACATAGTAATATTCATGATTCTTTCCAAGTTTCATGTTTTTCAGAATGCTATCTTATCCAATAAATGAACAGAAATCAACGAACTTCAAAAAGCATCTTGGCAGGTACTATGTACTTTACTCATACTGTTCTGTACAGGCATGCTCAACTGCTGTTCATCATTACCGTAACAATTTTTCGGGAAATTAATTTGTGGGATTAATCTAAGTTTAACTGAATGATCAAATCATCAATATAATCATTCTTAAATAAAGAACATTTTTGTTAATAGTTATATATTCCATATCGTAGTACGCTTTTCTGATCATCGGAAAGTCTTCTATGCCATGATATTAACTAGGCTCCCATACGAAAGTTGCTGTTGAGATAAACATTTTATAGAAGATAATAGATATTTTCTGCTGAATTGTAAACATTTTATCAAGATATGCAAAGGAACTGTTGCTGCAACTAAGTTATCAAGTATCGGGAGATCTAACAGCGTTACTTAAGGAAGTATCATGAGCACAATACATGGTGAAGAGGCACGTGTTTTGGTGTTGTATACAGGTGGGACGATTGGGATGAAATGCATTGATGGAGGTTTGGAAGCATAATAGATTTTATTCCATTAAATATTTTATAATAGTAAACTTAAAAATGAAATCATCACTCATATAGTGTTTCAGTTCAAATTTCTCCTACAGTTGTGGAGTTGCATGCTTGATTTAAGAAAATAACTTGCAGTATATCGTCCGGAAGCTAATTATCTTCTGCGTGCTATGCGTAATATGCCACTATTAAACGATTGTGATTATGTGTCCACAAATTATGCTGATGCCAAAACAAAACCGTACTGTTTGCCATCGCTACAGCATTCGAAAAAACGTCTTGTTTATTGGGTAATGAATTTAAATTTATCCGTAAAGTTTTTTTTCGGGACAGTAAATAATCATAACAGCAGATATTTCTTCTATTCTGTAATCCAGTGGATTACTTGTCCATAGCTCCACTTATTACCGTGTTCTGGACTATTACGATCTTCCATCGGATAACTAAAAATTTTAGTTGAGGAAAGGATAATGAGAATTGAAAAGCTGCATCATTACAGCTATTATAACTTCAAGTCCATTAAAGCTGCATTTCAGGTGGTCGAGTATGATCCGCTTTTGGATTCATCAGACATGACTTTTGATGACTGGATTAAAATTGGTAAGGACATTCAAGAAGCTTATGATCAATATGTGGGTTTTGTTATATTGCATGGTACTGACACGTTGGCATATACCGCATGTGCTCTATCATTTATGCTTGAGAATGTTGGAAAACCCGTTGTTATAACGGGTGCTCAAGTAAGGCAGTCTTCAATAAATTTTTCAATGATTCAATAATTTTAAATCTTCTCTTCTGAAAATATATGTCAAACAGATTGATATTTCTTTTTTATAAATAAATGTATAATCGGAATTTTGTTACTTTTTTTTTTTAACTAAAGGAGATTCCAGTTAATACCAGTAAATACTAAATTAATTTGATAATAATTTCCCTGTAATTGTTGATAATTTAATTGTCTGGACATCATCTTTAAAATCTGCGGAAACTCTAATGCATTCAGTCAATTCCTGTACGGTGTGTTTTTTTTTTTTTTTTTTTGTGGTTGATATTTTGCAGATCCCAGTGTTTGAGGTTCGATCTGATGGTCGGGAAAATTTGATTGGAGCACTGATTATGGCAGCCTATTATGATATTCCTGAAGTTACTGTATATTTTAATAATAAACTCTTCCGGGGAAATCGTACAATAAAAGTAGATAACAGCTCGTTAGAAGCCTTTGAAAGCCCGAATATGCTCCCAATTGCTCACATGGATATTGATATAAAAGGTAAGTTGATCGGAGCATTGATTATGGTAGCCTATTATGATATCCCTGATTCGATAACGAATGTGTTCCGTTTGGTGAAGTCAATTCAATTTCTTTTAGCTCTGTTTCTTTTTCTTACTTTAATTAGGTTTTTTTCTATGTAACATTTTTCTGTATAACACTTTTATTTTTTTTGAAAGTACTACTTTGCAGTTAATTATGATTCAATATTCCGCTCTCCCTCAGTAGCTCCTTTCGTAATACACGATCGGTTATGTCGAAATGTTGGATTGTTACGAATTTTTCCATCAATATCCATAGAAAATGTAGGTCATAATTTTGCTTCGTAATGAATTTAAATTAATTTAGCTGCTTTGAGATACTTGTGTAGCTCTTTCTAAATCAGCCCAACTAAAAAGCAACTCAACTCAACTAAAAATTATATTCGAAATCCATTTTGGAGGCAGTTCGTGCCTGCCTGAGTAATCATTCTACACAGGTTTAGAGAAGTTTTTTGCAGTGAATGAATTAAGTGCAGTTTGTATCATACATTTTTAGAGATTTAAGAAAAATTCTTATTTCTGCAATAAATGAAAAGCTTATTAAATTTTCTTTATATTTCAAGTTTCGAGAAAAATTGTGATGGAATTGAACTTTTAGGTGAGAGCATCATTGCAACCACCCACCGAAGGTGTTGTCCTGCAGACATTTGGTGCTGGTAATATGCCATCCCATAGAACAGATATAATAGATGAATTGAAAAAAGCTATTGATCGAGGATGTCTTATTATCAATTGTTCACAGTGTGTCCGGGGACAAGTAGATGTTCAGTATTTAACAGGAAAAGTTAGCATGCTGTATTCATTCATATTATGCTTAACTGAAAAAAAAACTTTAAGTCGTTTATTTCATCACTTGAAAAAATGATAATGCAGGCACTCGTTGATTTTTTTTATTTCATTTTATTTTTACTTGACATGGTTTGCGTTTAGAGTAAATTTTTGAACTTATTAAATTTGCCAAGCTGAATTTGAGTGCGCTTTGCCTATCACTATCACTCTATTGCATATAACTTGTTAGCATAATAGGTTGCTCCTGAAATGTATTTTCATCTGTTCCACTAATTTTTCAGATTCTTTATGATATAGGAGTCATTCCTGGTTCAGATATGACTACGGAAGCAGCATTAACAAAATTATCATATGTACTAAGCAAAGATTGTTGGGGACTTTCAAAGAAGAAAGCAATGATGGTCAAAAATATCAGAGGCGAATTAACTGTTACACAATCAAAACCACTCAGAGACCTTGAAATAGGTAGATTTCCAAAAAAAAAAAAATCTTTGCTGAACTTTTTGTTTTTAACAAAATTATATTTTTCTAACTGCTGAAGTATTACAGTTTCACAGATAGCAAGGTTCTTGCATCTAAATACTTCTCACGAAATGGAGTTTCTACGCCACGCTATTCTTCCACAATTACTATGTCATGCAGCTGATAGTGGTAATGTCGAGCTGCTTCGTGCACTTCGTGAAAATGGAGCTAATCTTTCGGCTATCGATTACAATGGACGCAATGCTCTGCATATAGCAGCTAGTGGAGGACATGTGGACGCTGTAAAGTACCTGTTGACTCAAGGCGTTAGTTTCCAACTTAGGTAAGGAGTCATATGAAAAGTATTTGGTGAAAAAAACTTTGTAGTTCTTCCAGATATTACTCTTTGGACTATGTGATTATATGTGCCAAGGCTCTATACGATTCTTACCTAACATTCCAGCCATACTATCTTTTTCAAAACTCCATATTGATCTTTTTTTTTTTAATTTGAAGAGACACAAAGCTTCTATGTGATGATCCTTATTTTACAGGGATCAGCGAGACGAGAATGCCCTTGTAGCTGCAGTAAGAACAAAAAACAAGGTTTGCATTGAGACTTTGCGGTCTGCAGGAGCAGTACTTTCCATAAGTCCGTTCCAGCTAGGTAAGTCCTTGAAGAGAAGTATTGACGGACCTCTCAATCAAAGATTTTATCGAAAGGGTCTTCCCTTACTGAACAAATTTGAAGGTGTTGAACTATGCCTATGTGCCAGTTGTGGTGACATAGAGACACTAAATTCTTGGCTTGCTGCTGGAGCTGATATAAATCAACAAGACTACGGTGGTAGGACTGCTCTGCATATTGTATGTTCCAGAATTTTTTTAAAGTTCTACAGTTGTTTTTATAAATATTCTTTACCAACTATCATTTATTTTCGTGGAACGACTTTTCTACCATAAAACTTGTGCAAAATATCTAGTGGAAATATTTTGCAGGCGGTAGAATCAAGAAATAAGCAACTAATATATTATCTGCTCGGTCGAGGTGCTGATCCAGACAAAAGTGACTATTTTGATTTAACACCACTCGGGCATGCTAAAAAACTTAATTTGCAAGATCTGGTCATTAAGATGAAAAAGCGCGAAGTTCAGTAACAGAAAAATATTTTGATAATGAATGCGTGCAGGATTATGATACAAAATCTTTAGTTTTATTATATCTCAGCTTTTTTAGATTTCCGTTTAACTTTTTACGCAAAACTGAAAGAACTATTGTGAAAGCGAGTTTACTTATTCCTAGACTCAGTTTTCATGCTAATGTGGTATAAAGGCACAAAATGTTTGTACATCCTTACATGGGCTTTGATACATCTCGGAATTTTTTTTGCGAAAGACATTTTGGTGATCAAATGAACATAATCATGAAGATGAAATTATAAACTGTTTTTTGAAATGAAAAATATGTAGGCACACTGGAAATGTACATTTTGGAACTTATTTAGAGGTAATGCATAACGGTTGATTCGGAGTAATGTGAATTGAACATAGGAACAATTTGGAGATAAAATAAATATAACTGATTAATAAGGTGGATAAAATCTGACTATTCTAGACTGAGTGTAATGTATCGAAAGAGTGACGAAATTTGTAATTTCGAGACAGTTGGAAAAGTTTCCAAGATCGCATGCATCTACATCATTGTCCGGTACTAAGTGTCTTTAACTGCACTCTTCATAAGATGGGAAATGTCGCGGATTTTAATATCGCGATCTAAAAATATGAGTTGCAAATTGTAGTAAAGATATCTACGTAATTTCCGCAAATAATGCTTATACTTCGGACTCTTTGTTTCCAAATTTATGCTTCTACATATTGAAACAATTTACATCGTTCTTTGTTAGCAATCCTTACAATCATGAGGATATCTACATTGTCCTTTGTTAGCTATCATAATCATGCGGTTATCTAATAAGCTCTTTATTAGCAACTGGTGCCCATGCAAGCACCTCCTCTCCTTTGTTTGGATCATTGTCTAACATCAATGTAGATTTATAACCATACTATTGTCAATTAGATCAGTTTTTAAATCATCCAATCCTCCGAATCAGTTTATTCAATTGTTGCCCAAATATTTAGCTGGCATCCAACACATCTCCCTGACATCAAACTTCTCGAATAACAATTTAACCAAATCATAAAGGTTTGTTTCCAAAAACATTTTTGCTTCCACTACAATTTTTGGTGCCACGAGCCGGGACATGTCCGACAGTATAAGAAAAGGAAGCGAATTATCGAAGTCGAGAACTCTAGAACTTCTTAAAGAAGCAAGTGAACTCGATCTGACCTCCCCGTCTCAAACACTATCACGAGGGGAACTTCAGCATCAATACGAAATTAAATTGCGAATCGTCAAGGAGAAGATCGCACATCTCGAATATTATGCTGGGTTACTCGAAACAGCTAATCAAAATTGGCTGGATAATATTCAGAGCTTGACAATAGCAACGAGGAGAAAGGAAGAGGAGACGAAATACGCCAATATGGTTGACGATCCACAAGGTATTTTAAGTTTAATCACTAGAACAAGAGAAACTATTATTACCCTTAAAATACATACTGATGAATATTGCTCGGTACTACAACATTTAAAACAAGAAGAGGTCAAAGAATCATTTCCAAAGAATAGTATGATTCACACAAATCAAGCAGAAATAAAACTTCCTCAATTACCACTAATAACGTTTAGTGGGGATCCAAAATTGTGGAGGCAATTTTGGTGTAGTTTCAAGGCAGCAGTCCATGAGCAAAGCATCCCAGATATTCAAAAGTTAAACTATCTGATATCATGTCTTAAAGGAGATGCTTTGTTATCTGTAAGAGGTTATGATATAGCGCCAGAAAACTACGATGTTATAATAGGTTTACTAAAAGAGAAATATGGTAAACCTTTCCTTATAAAGAAATCACTCTACAACGAGTTGAATACCATCAAAAAAATGACCGAGAGTGGAAAGCAACCATAGAAGCCATGGAGAGAACATTTCGACAACTGGAAGCTATAGGTGAAAATTTAGAGCATTCAAGCATCGAAATTACAATTGAAAATAAACTACCAGCGTGGATAATTGATAAATTATACCAATTGAAAGAGGATTCGACGAGTTGGTCAGTTAAGGATATCCGGCAGTACCTGACAAAACTAGTTCTAAGAAATGAAGAAGTTGCTAGAAGTCAAGCAGACACAAGGGAGAAGAAAACAAACAAAAATAATGTTAGAGGCGAAACGTCAGCTTTCGCCACAATCAACCAAACAAAGGGAGATAATACAATCAAATCAAAAAAGGTTCCAGGAAAAATTTCTATAAATGGGAAAAGGAAACCATGCGTATTTTGCAATAAGGACCACTGGAACAATGAATGTAACATCTATCCCACTCTCAAACTCCGGATGGAACGTTTGAGAGAAATCACTGCATGTTTCAAATGTTTACGAAAAGGACATGCAACAAGTGATTGTAAAAAGGGAAACCTTTGTGTTTCCATTGTAAAAGTCCACACAATACAGCACTGTGTCCCAACAACTACAAGGAACTCACGCAAGCAGTGGATTCCAACAAAGAAAGGTTGGGTTCAGTCACAATCGCTAACTCCATTACCGAAAAGGAAATCAATGGAAAAAGCGAACCTTACTGTTATGTAAGGAAATAAATGTAACCAATCCAAATCGCCCAAAAATCCAACAAAAGGCTTTAATTCTATTCGATATTGGTTCTCAATTATCGTTCATATCAAAGGATTTGGCTTATCGATTGAATCTACAAGAAACTAACGAGATGGAAATAAAAATTGCTTCATTTGGTGATAAGACGCCAAAAACGTGTATCACTACTAAAACTGAAATCGGAGTAAAAATTGGAAATAAAGAAATAATCCGATTAGATGTAATAACAGTTAACCACTTGACGAATGAATTGCAAGTAGTTAATCTAAACAAAAAGGAATTGTTGATGATAGACAAACGAAATCAGTTTAGTAATTTCAAAAACAAATGGAAACAACCGGACATACTCATAGGTGCGGATCACTTCTTCAAGTTTATCCAGTTTGACCAAGCAGAGAACTTAAAATCAGGATTTTCATTGATCCATACAAAGGTTGGACCTATAATAGCTGGAAGTGGGTATATAAATGAAATACACGACAGTATTTCAGAAACCACATCAGTAAGTCCGATTTCTCAAGTCAATGCCGTCAATATTCCAGACTTAGATCACTTTTGGAAACTGGAATTAATGGGTATACAAGACAAAATAAACTCTGACAATGATGAAAAAGCATTGCAGCAATTTAAACAAACTATCACTAGGGACAAGGGAAGATATCAAGTTTGTTGGCCTTGGAAAGATTCAAAGAACAAACTAAGCGATAATTTCGGACTTTGCCTTGGAAGATTAAAGTCGTTAATTAGGAGGCTTCAAATGAAACCTCAATTACTAAGTCGATACAATCAAACTATTGAAGAACAACTCAATTCCAATATAATTGAGAAAGTGTCATCGGAAATGAATGAAGTTGGTATTATTCATTATCTGCCTCATCACGAAGTAATAACACCAAATAAAACCACGACAAATCTGAGGATAGTTTATGATGCATCAGCTCATTGTAAAGGAATGAAAAGTTTAAATGATGTTTTATATCGGGGACCAATAACACTCCCTGATTTGGTTGGAGTTTTGCTACGTTTCCGTACAATGAAAAATGTAATAATAGCAGACGTAGAAAAGGCGTTCTTGCAAATAGAATTGCATCCAACAGATAGAAACTGCACTCGATTTCTTTGGTTGAAAGACATTCGAAGTCCAGTTAACGAAGAAAACGTAAGTTGTTACCGTTTCCAACGAGTTCCATTTGGAATTGTATCATCTCCATTTTTATTGTCCGCTACACTCAATTATCATTTGGAAACTTGTAAAAGCAAAATCGCACTCGAGTTAAGGAAAAATCTCTATGTCGATAACATTATAATACCAACCAAAGGAACCAACGAAGCTCTTTCCAATTATAAGGAAATTAAAATTATATTCAATGAAGCATCAATGAATGTACGGGAATTTCTCTCTAACGACCAAGAAGTCAATGAAAAACTTCCGGTACAAGATCGAGCAGAGGTAAGTTCAATTAAAAAATTCTAGGTCTCAATTGGTACCACAAACAAGATATCATTCAAGTAACGTTAAAACCATGGTTTGGTAAGAAATTAACTAAAAGAATTATATTGCAATTCGTAGCCTCACAATATGACCCACTAGGATTCATAGTTCCTATACTGATAAGATTCAAATTGTTTCTCCAAACTTTGTGGAAAAAGAACCTTTCATGGGATCAAACTATAAGTGAGGAAGATGAAACCACGTGGAAATTACTCACGAACGAATGGCCAAAGAAACTAAAGGATCTACCAAGATTCACAACAAATTGTTCCAAGCAAGTACAATTTCATGTTTTTACTGACGCATCAACTGCTGCATACTCAGCAGCTTTATACATTCGAACTCAAGAAAGAGAAGTATTCTTAGTGTTTGCTAAATCCCGAATTGCGCCAATTAAAGGAATGTCAATACCTCGATTAGAATTACTGGCAATACTCATCGGAGTGAGAATGGTACAATTCGTATTAAAACAAAAAGAGCTTGAGGACGTGATAACAATTTTATGGTCCGATTCTCAATGTGCGCTTCATTGGGTTCACAATAGTTCCCGTTTACTACCAACGTTCATACAAAATAGGGTAGAAGAAATACGAAAGGCGAAAATCCATTTTAGATATATCCCAAGTGAACAAAACCCAGCTGATATAGCTACAAAAGGAATCTCTCCGAATAAACTAAAAGGATATGATCTTTGGTGGAAAGGACCAAAGTGGTTAACAGAAAACGAATCAAAATGGCCACAGTGGAAATACAATTACAATGAGGATTACCAGGATGAAGAAATTGTGGCCCACATCACAGAACCAATTATCATAAACAAACATTTCGGAATCTTAGATGCTAGTCGTTTTAGCAAATGGTCAAGATTAATAAGAACAACTGGTTGGGTTCTGAAATTCATAAGATTAACAATGAAAAGGGAAATTCCTTGGCTAAAGATGG